GTGTGGGTGGATGTGGGTGTGGGTGTGGGTGGATGTGGGTGTGGGTGGATGTGGGTGTGGGTGTGGGTATCGGGTTTGGGTGTGATTGAGGGGTGTGAGTGTGGGTGTGTGAGTTCGGGTGTAGGTGTGGGTGTAGGTAAGTGCGTTGAAGTGCACTATTTCTCTTTAGCCACAGCCAGACACCGACACTCACACCAACACCCTGGACGTTTTCCTAGTTCTGGATTAAGTGTGTGGGGTTCACGAAGTTGAATTATATGCCAATAGCCGCAGCTATACTCCATCCACCCCTAGATCCATGGACATTCAAAACCAAACAGAAACGAATACTCACATCCGCATTGAAGTCTAGAGCCGCAGCCACACACCGATACCAATACTCACTATCTCCCACAGCCTAAACGGTGTCGAGTATCTATTCTGGAATGACAATAACCATGCAATGTGAAAATTTGAAAAATAGCCCGTTATCACGATTTATCTGTCTTTTATCTTTTTTCGAATAAAGGTGTGTATGAATTACTTCAAAATATCAAGATTTAAAACAATGTGTGAAAACTTTTTGCATTTTCACCGAAAACTCTGATTCATCGTATCCGATGTGATAAAGTTGTACTTAAGAAGGGTGCAATTTTGAAAGAACGTGCAAAAGTAGACCTTCTCGAGATCCAGAACGTCCAATGATACTTCTATTAAGTAAGCCGAGCTTCTATAAATTTTTATAAACTTAGGTCTGAAAGAAGTACTGAACTGTATACGGTAGAAACTTTGGATCCCCAGGCCCCGATAGAGAAGTTTCATATCAATTACAGACCGTGACCATAGGAACTTCAGAGATCATCATGGATCATAAGAGAGAAACTGTAGTGCTAAAACATCAGATGAACGATGCGCTGCAAATCTATCGCAAAGAAATGGAATAAAGCGGTTTCCATCGAATTAGTAGCAACAGATGCATTGTGTTTCACATTTTGCAGTCCTGGAAGGGATTGCACTAGCAGTTTTCATTGTTTAAATCAATTTTAGCTGCTTTCGTGGCCCTCTTCTTGTGTGAAGGGAGCTGCGCCATTATTGGAAATTCTCGAAATACAACTAACTTCGATAAAGCAGGTGGGAAGAATAAATTTCGTAAAATATTGACTGATTGTTTTCCTCTATTAGAAGATATACGGAAGTTAACTACTACTATTCGTGGAACAATAACCGTGAGACCATCACGCCCAACAACGTATGTGTATTACGGTCAGAGTGATCTTAGTGGTGGAGCGATTGCTAGAATTGTCATCGCAGTTTTGTTGGTACTTTGCTGTTTGGGTAGCATTTGTAAATCCTCAAAAAGCAAAAAACCAAAAGGACATTGGGAAACACATCTCGTAGATGTATGGGTAGTAGGCAACAAATAGGATGCTGCCACTTAAGTTTAATTTTTGGAAACTTTTCATATGGATCACTACTCTATTCGGGCTTCAACTTTCGTCTTCACAGAAATAAATCAGTGATTATACTGAAAAAAATCTTTCAAACACAAGTTGTTTCTTCTATAATATGCAAGTCGCCTGCAATCGTTCTTTCAGAATTCGTGTTTCCTTCCATCCCTTCCAATTGTATTCTTAGAAGTATTTCGATCTTCTGACAGTTCAAAACACAAGCTTCATTAAGTTTTCTATCAATTGACTATATTTTCCTCATACAAAGAATCGTGCGTCCTCTTTAGGTATGCCGACACTTCCGAGAGTCAAAAGAGATATTGTTTTTGTCTTCCTATCAATGAGTGGCTATGATTGTGCATATAGGGTGTGTGGATGTGGGGTGTAGGGTGTGGGTATGGGATCTGAGTGCGCATTAAAAAAATGGCCCACACCCAAGAAAAGATCCATACACCCACACCCTTTTCATTCATCATTTTTCTCATTATTTATAACATTATTGTCATATACTTAATTAGCTTGTTTATAAATGATTAAAATTTAAGTCATATTTTCAATTGAAACAATTATTATCTCTATAATTATAGTAGAATTTTTCTTGTTTGATAATTTAAAAAGTAATAATGTATTTCCTGTATGAAATCAAAGAATTTCGGTAGCTCTTAGAAAACATGATTTGAGTATCAATTTAGACTTAGATTGATTTTCATTCTAAATGAATTCCATATTCAGAATCTATTTCGTCAAATAATTATTTTCCAAATAGTTCAGTCGATATGATTAGTTTGATATTTATACAAAAACAATGTCGAAGAACAAAAGAAAAATATTCTTTTATCTTTCTAACAGTTAATAAAAAAAAAGATTTTATAATAGATTTTATTTTCTTTCTGACAGCATGTAAACTGATCACATAATAAAGAGGGCCATTACCATTTTTATATAACAGAAGCATGAACACCGAAAAAGAAAAAAAAATATCAGACAAATTAATCACAAAAATAGAACAATAACAAAAACAAATTATTTATTAATTTTTTTTTACAAATTGGTCGAAAATATACTACTATATCAAATCACCATGGATCATATGGAAATAATTTTTTTATCAAAAAACTATATAGATGTACTTGATTATTGGATAAAGAGAAAGATATCATACCATTAATTCACCAACAATATCAACTTTTTTCTGGATAAGCTGCACAAAAAAAATATTCATACAAACCAATTAAATAAATCTTTCAAAAAAGTCAATTCTTCATTTCATATACCAATACACTCAAGACAATTAGCCAAAACACTAAAACAAAGTTAAATAGATTTCTTTTTTATTCTTGAAAAAAATATTTACATAGATCTTTGTTGTCCAGCTTATAAGCATTGCTCAAGTAAATTTATTCTTACTGATTATTGAAAACAAAATTTGAATCAATTGATAAAACAAGTTCGTGTTAGGTGTAGATGTGGGTAGAATTACTATTTACACCCATATCCCCACCCATACGCACACCCACCCACACCCACACCCCACACCCAAAAAGATCTTGCATTTATATCTACAGATACTGTGAGTAGATTAACTGTAATTAGATTGTTGATCATTTGCTGCTGTTGTTCTAGTTTTTGTTCGAACTTAAAATTAAAAAAAATATACATATACATATATTTATTATGTTTTGTTTCCTACTTCATTTATTTTTCTCTCATATTCTTGTCGATCACAAAATCTACCAATACGTGATGCAGCAAGAGAAATTTGTACCCGATTAAGTTCATTTCGTAAACATTCAATTTCAGTTTGTGCAGCTATTAAATCATGAGAAAGATTGTTTGCCTAAAATCAATTAAAACGATTAACGGAGACAGATGCAACAACTAAAGGTAATTTCATTTTTTTAAATATCATGCATATTTATAAACGTGCATAAACGTTTACCATAATGAAATGAAAAGAAACAACAAAATTATCCGAAAATGTGGTTTATGGCTTATTATGAAAAGTATAATTTGTCTTTATGAAATAAAAATAAATCAAATCTTTATTTCTAAAATACTTCAAACCTGCTTTTCTCGACACATCATTAAGCGTTATGCAAACGGAAATTTAAGTAATAAAGTTATTATTACATAATAATTCTTTTAAAGCATAAGCTTTTAAATAAAAATTTTTCTTTGTTTAATTGATAAAGACTGATTTTGCAAAGAATGCAGCAATCGTGAATCATATTGATAGATGGCGCTCAATGCTTAGATCTACTATATCCAAGTCAACCCGTACGCAATTGGTGAGGTTTTCTCAGTTGATCATTTATTTGTTGTTATTAACAGATAATGTTTAAATTTAATCATTTATTTATTTGGCTTTAAAATATATGAATTGAATATAAATTAAACAACATGGATAAACTAAGTAAATCACTTGAAGTTTTAAAATTACTTTCAACAACAACAACATTATAAACATTTATAATTAAGTCAATAATTCGATTTTTATTCTGTTTTTCATTTTGTTTATATCTCCTATCGAATGTTTTTTTCATCTAGAGGTAATAATGAAAATTATTTTAAATTAATTACAGCTATTGTGGAAACATTATTTACAACATGTAATGAAAATGATTATGATGTACAATTGACACTGTCGAAGAAAATCTTAATAAACTTGTTAAAGTATTAGAAAAGAAATTCTTTTATTTTTGTATAATTTTCTCTTTTTTTTAATGAATTATAAAATAGAATTTACAAAAACCAAAATTAACAAGAATTCAAGTTGAATTACATCGAATTATAAAACGTAATCTTAATGTTGGACCAAGAGGA